TGCTTTTGCCAAATATTAAGTCGAAATATTTTGTTTTTTCGAATGTTATCCTCTGGAGTTATTTGTGGTGAACATCTGAAAAATAGGCCATTGTTCATAGGTGAAGAAAAAGAGATTATTTATAAATCATGTGAAGTTGGAAGAGGACAGGACAGAATTAAAAAATACTTGCCTCGTTTTATGGCAATTCCCTTTGATAATTTTTGAAAGATATTGTTTCAAATTTACAGTATTTATCCAGAATTTAACTCTTATTAATTCATTTATTGAAAACAATAAACAATTAATTCATTCCGGAAAATAAGATTTGTATTTTTTATTACTAGTGTCATGTGCAGTAACTGCAATTCTCACGACCAGATATGATTATATTTTAATTATTGTAACTCATCATATTGCTTGTAATTGAACAAATGCGTGTATAATTGGAGCAGGGACGTATTGCAATTTCCTTTGCTATAACGTCATTGTCAAAATTTATTTCTCATTTTGCCGGCAGCAATACGTGATTTTCTAGAATAATGTCAAAGATTCGGTCCCTTTCCACCATTTTTCGTTACAGTTTATTGCAGAAATTTTGTAAACATGTTCACTGGTAAATGAAATAAATGAAGGACAAAAGCAAAATATTATGTGTTTCATGACAAATCACATTAAAGTAATGCAGACAGTACTATTGCATTTGAGCCATGATTTGATTTGATCCGATAGGATTATGTAAATGAATGAGGTTTCCAATAATGGCGCGATTATGAAGTAATTTTCTGAAATTGATTCAGTGGGGTAAGGTAAAGTTTTTATCATTATTATGATAAAAAGATTGCTATGATAGGAACATCATTCTGACTAACAGCAATGATACGATAGCTTGAGAATTGTTGATCGATTGATTTAAAAAGATTTTGATCAATTGCAGTTTTGAGATGATTTCCTCACATTAGGGTAACGTCGTATTCATTTATCATAGCTGAAATTATATTAAGTTTGCTTTAATATCTAAAAGGAATTTCCACAAATTTTTATGTGATTTTCTGACGAGAATTTTCGCGAAGGCATTGATGAATCGTAATGCAATAATAAAAAAAATTGGAATTCAAATTTCTATTATATGAATGATGCATTTGTTATTAGTTGAAACGAATTATTTAAATTGCAAAAAAAAAAGAATGTACAATTGTCTGCAGAAAATTGCCATAGCATTGACAATATTTCGATGAGTCATTACAGTGCACCAAATTATGATTAAAAAAAAAAAAGATGAATTTGGGAAGTTGTTTTTAGTGATTGAAAGTATGGATAGACATTATTATTGTGATTTCTCAGTGGCTATTAACAATTTATGGAACATTTTTCAACTTCATCTCTTCTTTTCGTTACAACAAATGAAATATTTACGAATACTTGATAGGATTGAATTTTTATTTCACTAATTTTAACTGTTAATTGTAGTTATGACTTCATTTATTGAAATTTTAGCTATTCAATCAATCGTCAATTGAGGAAATATTTTGATAATGAAAATATATCATTTATTTTGACAGCATTTTTTTTTAGCAATTTTGAACTTTTAACCTTAATTTAATATTGCATTTTACTCTCTTCACTTCCTAATTTAGTTTATTCAAATTATTCGTCCATTCATCTATTATTTTAATACAATTCCAATAAATATCACTATTATTAAATAATTGCATTTTTGATTTCTATTTGGGAGCCATATTGATGGATGAAATATATATCCTTCAGGATGTATTCATTAATAATGCTTCTAAAATACAATAAATTACCTGTCCACTAATTAATTTCCATTCTTCATTATTCCACCCTCGTTGCTTCTGTCTTCAATAACAGAGATTCATTTATTAAATCATGCCATTTCCTGATTATTTTATATTTTTTATATTCAAAAGTTATTATTAATACTTTATTAGAATATGATATCAGTACTTTTTTGATGTGGTACCAATTGTTTTCTTGATTTGTTTTAATGTTTTCTTTATGCGGTACCAATTATATCTCTAACAGAATATGGTACCAGTACTTATTTGTATGTAATATTGTAGCAATATTATTATATTATTAAATGTGATAATTGATATTATATAACTCCTGTAGTTTTTCTGGCGATTACACTACAAATAACATATAATTTTAACAGCTGTTAAATGCGAAGAACAGTAATG